TGTTTTTTTTTTTTTTTTGCAAGTATGTGCTAAAATTGGAGCGATACACCCCCTTTTGCATTCAAGGATGCCAGTCACAAGCCGAGAAGTGGTCCAAATTCAAAAAAGAGAAAAGAGAAAAGAAAAAAGAAAAAAAAAAGATAGTCTGCCACGGTTGCTTCCTTTGGATTGGGGTTGGGGGTTTGGGGGGGGGGGGGGGGGGTGGAGGGGTGGAGGGGGGGTTAATTTTTTTGTGCGTCCCCAAATTTTTACGTTGCGTACAATGCAATGCATGCATGCATTTTTTGACGTTGCGGCGGGTGTGCTGAATACGACATTCGGACATTAACATACGTCTACAGTAGACACTTACAGCAATATCTATACGTCTAATTACGAATTAATTAGTTTATATTATGACACCGTATGATGTACATAGATGGATGTATCATGTCCTATCTCTATGTCTACAGTCTACAGATAATCAGAGAGACGACATTTTCACAAAAAAATTGAAAAAATGATTTAAAAATTAAAAATCACTATTTTTCTCACAATTTCTTTACACCACCAGTACTTCGGGGGGCCCACTTTCTTCCAGGGCGCCAGGACCGAGCTCTGAGCTTTGTTGAACCGCCAGCACGACGTTCTTTTTTCTTTCTTTCTTTCTTTCTTTTTCTTTCTTTTTTTCTATATATATATACTTTTTTTTATTTTTTGGTTCTTTTGGCTGGCATCGCCAGCCATTGTTGTCCTGCGAGCCCTTACGCACGTTTCAGCTGGAGGCAGCTGAGATGCCGGCATCATCAGCAGACAGCACTCTAAATGAGAGAGCTGAAGGTGGTGATGGTGATGATGCTGCACTGCGTAAAGAGGAGCAGGAGGGGGGGGGGGACCGAACACACAAACACAAGCATCTGACGACCCTGCCTGCATGAACAAAGGTAAAGCAAGGAACTAGACACGAGTTGAAAAAGGAGTTGAAAAAAAAAAGAAAAAAGAGAGAGAGAGAGAGAGAGAGAGAGAGAGAGAGAGAGAGAGAGAGAGAGAGAGAGAGAGAGAAAAGAGTTTTCTGCCGTATATGTACGGCTGAAAAAACTCCTCAGGATTCCTACTGCAGCTGAGGCATTGCTTGAGGCAACCCATTTCCATTTCGTCTGTGTGTTTTTTCTTGCATCGAAAGTAACACAAAATAGCCAAGGCTGTGAAGTACAGACGGCGTGAGAAAAATTGTCACCCAAGGTTGTAGAGTACATGACTTGGGTCTAAATCCACAGGCCGAATAACCACCCTCGTACCCACCCAAATAGCATGGCCAGCTGTACATTTGACTGTGGATTTAGACAAATTTGACTGTGGATTTAGACCCATTTGACTGTGGATTTAGACCCATTTGACTGTGGATTTAGACCCAACCGGTTGGGAAGTTTGGAAGTTTAAAGGGCAGCCAGCTGTACCGACAGTGGCTGCTGGCTGTCCTTATAACTTCCCATCAGCCTCATCAGGTTATCATACATACTCTCGGTCGAAGATTTACAGGAACAGAGGATGGGTTCTCTAACTTTTCTTCCTCCTGTTTTCTCTATTCGTCCGTCCTCTTCTCTTCTCCTCTCCTCTCCTCTCCTCTCCTCTCCTCTCCTCTCCTCTCCTCTCCCCTCTCCTCTCCTCTCCTCTCCTCTCCTCTCCTCTCCCCTCCTCCGCCTTCGGTTCTCCGGGTTGCTTTTCTTCTCTTGTCTGTTCTCTCCTCTTTTCTCGTCTCCTGCTTCCGATCAGCAGAGTCTCAATGGTACATGAGCAATGTGATTGGTTGCTGACGTCAGGATGCACATCCGCCAATCTGCCAATCTGCAATTCCCTGTTTGCACGCTGCAATCTTGTCTCTTCTCTCGTTAACCGGTGCGGAGGGCTGAGGGGTCAGTCAAATGCATCTGGGGAATGATACAGTCTGCGTCTGATTCCTTTTTGTGTGTTTCTTATTAAGTTGACGACTCCTTTCTCATTGTGCCGTTGATTGGCTCATATTGAAACATACATCACCTCTCTCTCTCTCTCTCTCTCTCTCTCTCTCTCTCTCTCTCTCTC